ATAAAGGCATTTTTGTTAGGGATGGCTGACAAATTTTCTTGCTCTCAGGGTGTAAGAAAATATGTCACCTTTTATTTTTCCACCAAACTAATGTCACTCTATTCATTTTTCTTTCTATTTTGTATTTCAAATTTGTCCATAATTTTGGATTCACACATTTAGGACAATATGTCACAATTTAAGTGTTATGCCTGAAGTAAATTAGATACTTAGTAGGCACTCCATATTTACTAAAATATAGTTACTTATACATTTGTTTGCTGTAGGCAAAGAGGAATTACAGGATTTGCACTCACTTTCTTCAGCCTATATCTAAATAAAAACATAATTTATTTCCAAATATTTGTTTTATATATATATCAGAGGCTTTAATTATATTCTGCAAAAATATATATTTCTTTTTAATTTAGCAATATAAGGCTATTATTTTCTTCTAAATTTGATTTTTTTTTTTTTTTTTTTGACATGGAGTCTCACTCTGTTGTCCAGGCTGGAGTGCAGTGGTGTGATCTCGGCTCACCGCAGCCTCCACCTCCTGGGTTCAAGTAATTTTCCTGCCTCACCCTCCCAAGTAGCTGGGATTACAGACGTGCACCACCAGGCCTGGCTAGTTTTTTGTATTTTTAGTAGAAATGGAGCTTCACCATGTTAGCCAGGATGGTCTCGATCTCCTGACCTCGTGATCCGCCCGTCTCGGCCTCCCAAAGTGCTGGGATTACAGGCTTGAGCCACCGCGCCCGGCCCACAATTTTTTTAAGGCTGAATAAAATTCCATTGTGTATATATGTTACCTTTTTTATGTTTAGGTTGCAGTGAGCCGAGATAACATCACTGCACTCTAGCCTGGGTAACGGAGTGAGATTTCTATAAAAATCTCAATAGTATATATATCAGAGGCTTTAATTATATTCTGCAAAAATATATATTTCTTTTTAATTTAGCAATATAAGGCTATTATTTTCTTCTAAATTTGATTTTTTTTTTTTTTTATTTTTTTTTTTTGAGACGGAGTCTCGCTCTGTTGCCCAGGCTGGAGTGCAGTGGTGCGATCTCGGCTCACTGCAAGCTCCGCCTCCCGGGTTTACGCCATTCTCCTGCCTCAGCCTCCCGAGTAGCTGGGACTACAGGCGCCCGCCACCTCGCCCGGCTAATTTTTTTGTATTTTTTTAGTAGAGACGGGGTTTCACCATGTTCACTAGGATGGTCTCGATCTCCTGACCTCGTGACCCACCCATCTCGGCCTCCCAAAGTGCTGGGATTACAGGCTTGAGCCACCGCGCCCGGCCCACAATTTTTTTAAGGCTGAATAAAATTCCATTGTGTATATATGTTACCTTTTTTATGTTTAGGTTGCAGTGAGCCGAGATAACATCACTGCACTCTAGCCTGGGTAACGGAGTGAGATTTCTATAAAAATCTCAATAGCACATTTTTACAGAAATATTGTTAAAAACTTTTGAATTTGATTTTTTATGTTTATGAATCAGACATCTGGGTTACTTCAGCCTTTTGCCTTTTGTGAATGCTGGTACAATAAATATAGATGTTTACGTATCTCTTCTAGGTCCTGTGTTGCATCCTTTGGATATAGATTCATAAATGGGATTGCTGTATTTAATTATAATTCCACTTTTAATTCTGTGTGAAACATAACATTTTAAAATAATGGTTGCATCCTTGTTTTCCATCAACAATCAACATAAGTTTCATTTTCATAGCATCATCAACAGATTTGGTGGTGGGTTTTTTTTGGGGGGTGGGGTTGGGGTTTTGGTTTGAGTCAGAGTCTGGCTCTGTTGCCCAGGCTGGAGTGCAGTGGTGCGATCTTGGCTCACTGCAATATCCGCCTCCCGGGTTTAAGCGATTCTCCTGCCTTAGCTTCCCAAGTAGCTGGGACTACAGGCGCATGCCACCATGCCTGGCTAACTTTTCATATTTTTAGTAGAGACGGGGTTTCACCGTGTTAGCCAGGATGGTCTTTATCCAGCCTCCCAAGGTGCTGGGATTATAAGCATGAGCCACCGTGCCTGGCCAGATTTGGTGGGTTTTTTTAGAAAAATGATAGTGGTCATTCTAATGGGTGTGGGGTGATTTTGCTTTTCATTGTGATTTCTATGTATGTCTTCACAAATTAGTAAATTTATGTGTCCTTTCAAATGCTCTTTCCCATTTTTGTATCTTTTTGTTTGTGTGTGTTTTTTTGTTTGTTTTTGAGACACAGTCTCCCTCTGTCACCCAGTTTGGAGTACAGTGGCGCAATCTTGGTTCACTGTGTTTTTTTAAGATGGAGTCTTACTCTGTCACTCCGGCTGGAGTGGAGTGCAGTCGTGTGATCTTGGCTCACTGCACCCTCCGCCTCCTGGGTTCAAGTGATTCTCCTGCCTCAGCCTCCCGAGTAGCTGGGACTAAAGGCGTGTGCCACCACACCTGGCTAATTTTTGTATTTTTAGTAGAGATGGGGTTTCAATGTGTTAGCCAGGATGGTCTCGATCTCCTGACTTCATGATCTGCCTGCCTCAGCCCCTCAAAGAGCTGAGTTTACAGGTGTGAGCCACCGCACCTGGCCCGCCTATGTATCTTTTAAATGAAAATTTTGTTCAATTATTCATCCTTTTCTAAATCAAGTTATTCAACTTTATTGCTCAGTATTAAGAGTTGCTTATATGTTCTGAGTATTAACTCCTATTATATGATTTGCAAATATTTTTACCAGTTTCCTAGGAGGCATTGGCACTTGAATTTTTTTTTTAATCTGCAGAAATTTTGAAGTATACTGGGGTTAAATTATTTTTTAATGTTTAAGTATTTTATTTAAAATATTTTTGCATATGATCATTTTTTATAATGTAGCTTTGTCCTGGCATAGCCTGAAAAAAATTTTCTCAGCTAGAAATTCTGAGAGTGTCTTAAACATGTTCCTAGGATGTGTCTTGTCTGAAATTTGTTTTTTAATTTAAAAAGTTTATTCATGTTTCTTCTTAATAATCAGTCACCACTTGCTAAACCTGTTCGCTGTCTGTGATACTGCAGTCTCTCTGCTGCTGTAACATTTGGCTTTGGTTTCAGCAGATTCAAACCGTCATTCCAAAGTATACCAACACTTTTTTTAGCACTTTATGTCGTGCGAGACAGAAACCAGTGTCTGGAAGGGCGCCTAGAAATGAAAAAAAGATGTATGTGCCAGTGTTCTACTTGTCTTTAAAAAACAAAGAAAGAAAGAAAAACAGGGTTGGCTATTCACTTTTTTTTGTTTTTTTTTTTGAGAGGGAGTCTCGCTCTGTTGCCCAGGCTGGAGTGCAATAGCAATCTTGGCTCACTGCAACCTCCGCCTCCTGGATTTAAGCAGTTCTGCCTCAGCCTCCCGAGTAGCTGGAATTACAGGCGTCCACCACCATGCCTGGCTAATTTTTGTGTTTTTAGTAGAGAGGGAGTTTCACCATGTTGGCCAGCCTGATTCCAAATTCCTAACCTCAGGTGATCCATTCACCTCGGCACCCCAAAGTGCTGGGCTTACAGGCGTGAGCCACCCTGCCTGGCTGGTTATTCACTTCTAAAGGCACTATATTATATTGGGGAGAGGGATGAGCTGTGTTGGGTAAACGTAACAGACTTTTCTCATTATTCTTCATGGTTCTTTGCATTGTCCTCACCTCCTGGGGCACTGTACACACACTTAACTCTTGTATAAATTTTTCACAAATGTATTTTGGTCTGTGTATTTTTCTTACATTTATATGTCTATAAGGAAATTAGGGCCTTTGGTATTTTGTTGTGCAGTTTTGTTTTGGTTGTTTTTGAGTCAAAGTATTGCTCTGTTGTCCAGAGTGGAGTGCATTGGTGTGATATCAGCTCACTGCAACTTGTGCCTCTCAGGTTCAAGCGATTCTCCTGCCTCAGCTTCCTGAGTAGCTGGGATTACAGGTGCATGCTATCATTCCCGGCTAATTTTTTTGTATTTTTTAGAAAAGATGGGTTTCACCATATTGGCCAGACTGGTCTCAAACTCCTGACTTCAGGTGATCTGCCCATCTCAGCATCTCGACGTGCTGGGAGTACAGGCATTAGCCACCATGCCCGGCCTTCTTATGCAATCTTGTTTATGTAGTTTGTATAATTTTGTAGGTTGGATTTGTAAAGAATATGTATCTGAGTCTAGTATGTGGAGTAAGTTGTTATTTTTATTTCTTTCAGGTATGTGTTGTTATTTCGCCCAAGACCTTTGGCCAGAGCAGAGCATAAAAGCTTCTTTCCAAAGAATAATACCAAGAAAATATGAAAAATGTGGACAGCACAATTTACAGTTAAAAAAAGGGTGTAAAAGTGTGGATGAGTATAAGGTGCACAAAGGAAGTTATAATGGATTTAACCAGTGTTTGTCAACTACCCAGAGCAAAATATTTCAATGTGATAAATATGTGAGAGACTTTCATAAATTTTCAAATTCAAATAGACATAAGACTGAAAAGAATCCTTTCAAATGTAAAGAATGTGGCAAATCATTTTGTGTTCTTTCACACCTAACTCAACATAAAAGAATTCACACTACTGTCAATTCCTACAAACTTGAAGAATGTAGCAAGGCTTTTAATGTGTCCTCAACGCTTTCTCAACGTAAAAGAATTCATACAGGACAGAAACACTACAAATGTGAAGAATGTGGCATAGCCTTTAACAAGTCCTCACACCTTAACACACATAAGATAATTCATACTAGAGAGAAATCCTACAAACGTGAAGAATGTGGCAAAGCTTTTAACATATCCTCACACCTTACTAAACATAAGATAATTCATACTGGAGAGAATGCCTACAAATGTAAAGAATGTGGCAAAGCTTTTAACCAGTCATCAACCCTTACTAGACATAAGATAATTCATGCTGGAGAGAAGCCCTACGTATGTGAACATTGTGGCAGAGCTTTTAACCAATCCTCGAACCTTACTAAACATAAGAGAATTCATACTGGTGATAAACCTTATAAATGTGAAGAATGTGGCAAAGCCTTTAATGTGTCCTCTACCCTTACTCAACATAAGAGAATTCATACTGGGGAGAAACCTTACAAATGTGAAGAGTGTGGCAAAGCCTTTAACGTGTCCTCAACTCTTACTCAACATAAGAGAATTCATACTGGAGAAAAACCATACAAATGTGAAGAATGTGGCAAAGCCTTTAACACATCCTCACACCTTACCACACATAAGAGAATTCATACCGGAGAGAAACCCTACAAATGTGAAGAATGTGGCAAAGCCTTTAACCAGTTCTCACAACTTACTACACATAAGATAATTCATACTGGAGAGAAACCCTACAAATGTAAAGAATGTGGCAAAGCTTTTAAGCGGTCCTCAAACCTTACTGAACATAGGATAATTCATACTGGAGAGAAACCCTACAAATGTGAAGAATGTGGCAAAGCTTTTAACCTATCCTCACACCTTACTACACATAAGAAAATTCATACTGGAGAGAAACCCTACAAATGTAAAGAATGTGGCAAAGCTTTTAACCAATCCTCAACCCTTGCTAGACATAAGATAATTCATGCTGGAGAGAAACCCTACAAATGTGAAGAATGTGGCAAAGCTTTTTACCAATACTCAAACCTTACTCAACATAAGATAATTCATACTGGAGAGAAACCCTACAAATGTGAAGAATGTGGCAAAGCCTTTAACTGGTCCTCAACTCTCACTAAGCATAAGGTAATTCATACTGGACAGAAACCCTACAAATGTAAAGAATGTGGCAAAGCTTTTAATCAATGCTCAAACCTTACTACACACAAGAAAATTCATGCCGTAGAAAAAACTGACAAATATGAAGAATGGACCGGGCGCAGTGGCTCACACGTGTAATCCCAGCACTTTGGGAGGTCAAGGCTGGTGGATCATGAGATCAAGAGATTGAGACCATCCTGGCCTACATGGTATTTAGTAGTCTCTACTAAAAAATACGAAAATTAGCTGGGTGTGGTGGCGCATGCCTGCAGTCCTAGCTACTAAGGAGACTGAGGCACGAGAATCCCTTGAACCCGGGAGGTGGAGGTTGCAGTGTGCTGAGATCGTGCCACTGCACTCCAGCCTAGTGACAGAGTGAGACTCTGTCTCAAAAAGTGGCAAAGCTTTTAACCAATTAACAACTCACTATACATAAGATAATTTATACTGGAGAGAAACCCTAGAAGTGTGAATAATGTGGCAAAGCCTTTAACAAGTCCTTAATTCTTAGCAGACATAAGAGAATTACTGGAGAGAAATTGTACAAACCTGAATGATATAACAATGCAGTTGACAACACCTGAACATTTCTAAACACCTTTAAATGGTTGTCACACTTGATTGTAGGTAAAATACTTCATACTAGAGCTAGAAACCTCTACAAGTGTGAAGAATGTGGCAAAACATTTAACCAATGCTGACACTTTATTGGACAGGGAATGATTTATACTTGAGAAAAATTATGCAAATGTAAAGAATGTGAAGAAGCCATTAATATCTGCTCACATCTTATTCAATATCAGAGAGTTCATACTTAATAGAAACATTAAAAATGAAATTACTGTCAATAGATTTTTCAGAAAATATAAGCCTTTAAAGTGAAGAAGAGTATTTATTTTGAAGACAAGCATTAAAATATCAAGAGTGAGCTGGGCATGGTGGCTCACGCCTGTAATTTCCGCACTTTGGAGGCTGAGGTGGGTGGTTTCACTTGAGGTCAGAATTTCAAGACCAGCCTGGCCAACATGATGAAACTCCGTCTCTACCCAAAATACAAAAATTAGGTGGGTGTGGTGGTGCATGACTAATCCCAGCTACTAGGAGGTTGAGACAGGAGAACCGCTTGAACCTAGGAGGCAGAGGTTGCAGTTAGCTGAGTTTGTGCCACCGCACTGCAGCCTGGGCACTCCAACTGCACTCCATCTCAAAAAAAAAAAACTAACATGAAGAGTATTGTGGTACCATTACTTGTATTACAGATCTTATTTTACACATTTTGTACTAGAGGAAAACCCTGAAGTTGTTGCTGAAACTTTCTTCAACATCAGAGAATATATCTTGAAGAAAATCGCTGCAAAGGTGATAAATTTGGAAAAACATTTTTTTACAAACTACAGCCTAGGAAACACCAGAGAGTTCATACTAAAATATATTTTTGCAGATGCAGTAATATAAAAAATTAGTTATTTGAAAATTAAGTCTGTAAATATCAATTCAGAGTAGATGTATCTAAGGAACTGACACTTCAGACAGTACACTAAATCAGAGTGCTGAGTTTAGAACATAACTCAAAACTGAAATTTACATAAATATTTTGTATATAACTTTAAAAAGTGTGTAAGATATTTTGGAGAGTTATTACATTCAAAGTATGCTTTTCTTTTTTTTGTTGTTTTTTTTTTTTTGAGATGGAGTCTTGCTCCCATCGTGCAGGATGGAGTGCAGTGGTGCTATCTCGGCTCACTGCAACCTCCACCTCCCAGGTTCAGGTGCTTCTCCTGCCTCAGCCTCCTGAGTAGCTGGGATTACAGGTGTACACGACCATGCCTGGCTAATTTTTGTATTTTTAGTAGAGACAGGGTTTTGCCATATTGGCCAGGCTTTACTTTTTTTTTTTTCAGACGAAGTCTTGCTCTGTCATTCAGGTGCAGCCTCCACCTCCCACTTCAAGTGATTCTCATGCTTCAGCCTTCCGAGTAGCTGGGATTACAGGCATGAGTTACCACGCCTGGCTAATTTTTGTATTTTTAGTAGAGATGAGGTCTTGCCATTGGGCAGGTTGTCTTGAACCCTGCCTCAGCCTCCCAAAATGCTGGTATTACAGGCGTGAGCCACTGTGCCCACCAAAATATACTTTTTCTTGAAAAAAATTTATAGATTTTTTAATATGTGAATAATGATGGAATTCAACTCTCAAATTCATGCTGTTTCTTTATTCCTATTGCATTCATATGTGAAAGTATGTGATGAATGGTTCCTGCATGAAAGATATGAGAGATTGTTTTTTATTAGGTAGGCATTATTATCTCTTCTATGAAAGAGTAAAGACATTAAAATGTAAGATATATGATGAAAATCTAAGTAGGGATGCTCTTTGTGGTTAACTTATAATATTGAGTGATGCATGAAGTAGGTGTTCAGTTTAATATTCTGCTTTATGAGAGAAAAATATTTTTAATTTTAGTTAAAATTTAATAGTGTTATTTTACTAATTGTACTTTTATGTGATACAATCTAGTACATTTAAAAACTTTGAAATTATGTGTAGACCTAACTTTTTAATTTAACATTTTTAACATGTTAAATACTATTGTACATTCAATAAAGCATTATTTTGCCACTAACCTTAACCCATTCCACCTTACTCAAGAGTGTAGGTAAAAGATAGTATTATTTGTTAACGTAATAAAGTAGTATCTGTAGTAATCTTTTTTGCTAGTGGTTTTAAACTGCAAAGAAGTTAAAGAATGTTGTTCCTGTATGTTAAATTTTTTTTTCTTATTTAAATTTACTTAATATTTTTGGGTAGATAGTATGTGTATATATTTAAACCATATATGGCATATTTTGATACATACAATATATAATAATCACCTCATGGTAAATTAGGTATCTGTCACCTCTAGCATTTATCCTTTGTATTATAGAAAATTTAATTTTATGCTTTTTGTTAGTTTAAAATGTGCAACTAAACTGTTACCAATGGCCTCACCTCTGGCATTTATCCTTTGTATTACAGAAAATTTAATTTCTCACTTTTTGTTAGTTTAAAATGTACAGTTAAACTGTTACCAATGGCCAGGCACCATGGCTCATGCCTGTAATCCTAGCACTTTGGGAGGCTGAGGCAGGTGGATCACCTGAGGTCAGGAGTTCAAGACCAGCGCTGCCAACATGCTGAAACCCTGTCTGTACTATAAATACAAAAGTTAGCCAGGCATGGTGGTGAGCACCTGTAATCTCAGTTACTCAGGAGTCTGAGGCAGGAGAATCACTTGAACTTGGGAGGTGGAGGTTGCAGTGAGCTGAGATTGTGCCACTGCACTCCAGCCTGGGTGACAGTAAGACTCTGTCTCAAAATGAATAAATAAATAGATATTGACTACAGGGTAATTTCTATTATTGTATTATTTAGAAGTATGAATAAAATGCATACATTTGTGAGTCTTGTATACATATTTTTATAAATTTCTTATATATTTTTATTTGAACAGGTGGCCTCTCTGCCTGCAAACACATAAAGACTTTTAATTTTTATTTACATGAAGTTAAAAATACACATGTATTACTCTAAAGATAAACCTTAGGAAAGAAATTATGGAGTGAGTGTGTTTATATGAGTATGAATTTGTACCTATTTTCAGGAAAGAAGAATAGAGCAATATTGGAACAAAACAAATTGTTTTAATGAGGTGATTAATTTATTAGATAATAAAAACCTCAAAAATGCTGAAAGCAAATTTTTGCTCTCAGCTTTGTATTAAATTCATTACTGTAAAACCGTATGGTTTATGGTTCAGAATCTCTCCATACAAACTCTTTGCCTGGTACTCATGCCAGACCTATAATTTTGTTATGATTTTTTGTTTTATAGTTTATGAAGTATCCACTACGTGAGCTGGTCATGATTATAAGAATTTTTTATAAAATTCAGTAATGTACACAATTTTTAGATATAATTCCATAACGTTATATTTTATTTAGAACATTCCATTTTGTTCTTTTAGTTGCAGATGCCTATATAAGCCTACTTTAGTTATTGTCGTTTTACTTGTTATAGATGACATAAGTGAATTTACTTATTTATTGAGTCTTTTTTTTTTTTTAGGTAAGTACTAGGGAAGTTTCATAAGTCATGAGAATGTTTTTGTATATAAATGTATCAAAGAAACATGACAGTGAGGCCGGGTAAGGTGGCTGATGCTTGTAATCCCAGCATTTCGGGAGGCCAAGATGGGCAGATCACCTGAGGCCAGGAGTTCAAGACCAGCCTGGCAAACATGACAAAACCCCATTCTCTACTAAAAATACAAAAATTAACTGGGTGTGGTGACATGCGCCTGAAATCTCAGCTACTCGGGAGGCTGCGGCAGGAGAATCACTTAATCCCAGGAGGCGGAGGTTGCAGTGAGTTGAGATCAGGCCACCACATTCCAGCCTGGGTGACAAAGTGAGATTCCATCTCAAAAAGAAAAAAAAAAAAAAAAGGAAACATGACGGTACTTGCTGTGTAACTGATGCTCCATAATAAGCCATAAATATTTCTGCTGGAGTTAGTTTGTAACTTCAAGTCAGCGGTTTCTGGTCTTTTTTTTTTCTTTCCTGCTCCATTGGAGTATGTGTCTGTTTTTCTTCAATTACCATACTGTTTTACCTAATAAAGCTTTTTTAGTATATTTCAAAGTCAGGTAGGGTGATACCTTCACACTTTTTTTTTTCTTTTTTCTTTTTTCTCGCACTTTCTCCCAGACTGGAGTGCAGTAGCACAGTCTCCGCTGACTGCAAGCTCCGCCTCCCAGGTTCAGCCATTCTCCTGCCTCAGCCTCCGGAGCAGCTGGGACTACAGGCATCCGACACCATGCCCAGATAAATTTTTGTATTTTTTAGTAGAGAGGGGGTTTCACCGTGTTAGGCAGGATGTTCTCGATCTCCTGACCTCGTGATCCACCCGCCTAAGCCTCCCAAAGCACCCCCCCCTTTTTTTTTTCCTTCATTGCTTTGGCTACTTTGGGTCTTCTGTGGTACAATATAAGTTTTAGATGTATGTTTTAAAATTCATACCAGTGTGTCGCTGGTATTTTCCTAGAGATTGCATTATGTCTGTAGATTATTTTGTGTAATACAGATATTTAACGATAATAACGCCAATTCATTTATAGGTAATATTTTTCCGTTTGTGTATTATTTAATTTTGTATTTCAATATCGTTTAGATTATAATGCACAGGTTTTTCCACTTTTTGGTTAAATTTATTTCAAAGTATAATTACTACAGTTATTGTAGATTAGATTTTTTTTTTTTTTTTTTTAATTGAGATGGAGTCTCTATGCTGCTCAGGCTGGAATGCAGTGGCACAATCTCAGCTCACTGCAACCTCTGCCTCCCAGGTTCAAGCTATTCTGCCTCAGCCTCCTAACTATCTGGGACTACAGGCAGGCGCCACCACATGTGGCTAATTTTTGTATTTTTAGTAGAGACTGAGTTTCACCATGTTGGTCAGGCTGGTCTCGAACTCCTGACCTCATGATCAGCCTGTGAAATTTTGCTAAAATTTCTGAATTAGAAAAAGAAAACATTTTTTTCTAATAAATTCATAAACGTCTTATGGCCATATCCCAAAAATGGTGAAGCAGAGAGTGTAGGTTATTTAAGATCATGCTGCCGACCAGGCACCTTGGCTCACGCCTGTAATCCCAGTGCCGAGGCGGGCAGATCACGAGGTCAGGAGTTTGAGACCAGCCTGACCAACATGGTGAAACCCCGTCTCTACTAAAAATACAAAAATTAGCAGGGTGAGCTACTCAGGAGGCTGAGGCAGAATAATCACTTGAACCCGGGAGGCAGAGTTTGCAGTGAGCTGAGATCGCGCCATTGTACGCCAGCCTGGGCGACAGAGCAAGACTCTGTCTCAAAAGTAAAAAAAAGCTGCTGCAAATGCTCATTCCGTCACAACCATGCTAGTGAAAA